TACAACTTAAAAGTTACAAGTAAGATTTAAATTTTAATTAATTATTATCCGCAAACAAGTTAATATATTAATATAAAGTGATTAGTAGTATAAGTTCGTATGATAAATTCTGAAGCACGGATCTACGCATAAACCAACATCACACTCTTTACACTCGTATCGTGAGTCGGATCTTTTGTCATTCTTACTCGTACCCACAAAACATGTTATGCGCGCCGCTTATAAGCGGCGCTCGTACCCACAGGTCATACTCTGCGCGCCGCTTATAAGCGGCGCTCGAAGCGAAAGGGTTAATTGAAATTTATTAAGTGTGCAAATCAAATTTGCCAAATTTTATATGGATGAAAATTGATGAAAAAATTCGAAGATCGATATGATCACGTGAGAATCGTTCTAACTCGATCCATCGACCATTCGTTTAAATAAAAATTTCTAAAATCTGTAAATCTCGAAGATGCATCCGTCTCACGCAGCTCTATCATATTTTTATTCGAATCCAGATTGTCACCGGTAGCCACGACTGCACGATAAGATTGTGGGATCTTGCAGCGGGAAAATCGAGAGCGACGCTCACTAATCACAAGAAGAGCGTCCGAGCCGTCTGTTTCCACCCCTCCTTGTAATTACCATCAACGATATCACACGTCAGTCATTGCCCCGTTCACACTTTCAATTGCACTTTTCGAATCAACAGGTACATGTTCGCCTCGGCTTCGCCGGACAATATAAAGCAGTGGAAGTGCCCCGAAGGGAAATTCATACAGAATTTATCAGGACACAACGCCATCGTCAACTGTTTAGCAGTGAATCCCGACGGAGTGTTAGTCTCCGGGGCTGACAACGGAACGATGCACCTCTGGGACTGGAGAACCGGGTAAAACACATATTTATCAACCTTGCAAGAGAACAGAGCTCGATTTACACGTTGTCGTCTTCCCTTTCCCAACACCAACCTTTCGAATCTCCTCGCGTTCGATGAGTACCGACGCCTCTATCCGAACAGCTTCCCGATATCCTGCGCTCTTAAGCGGTGGTATGAATACCGTGCCGTTTCGGCGCCGCCGGCCAGTGGGAAACGCACTTTAAATGTTGATTATCTCCGATGGACTTTATACAATAATTAACATTCGTTTTTAAACAGATATAATTTCCAACGATTGCAAGCGCCAGTTCAGCCGGGCTCGATGGACAGCGAAGCTGGTGTATTCAGTATAACGTTCGATATGTCTGGTACCAGGATGATCACCACAGAAGCGGATAAGACTATTAAAGTTTATAAAGAAGACGAGACAGCCGTAAGTAATTCAATTTTTAAGTGAAACTAGTCGGCATTACTGGTTTCTAATGGAGAAACGCATGTATGAAGCCGGTATTTCTATTTAGTTAATAACGTTTCTCTCTCTCTCTCTCTCTCTCTCTCTCTCACTCACTCTGGTGTTAATAAAAGATCGTCGATTTGTTTCGCAGACCGAGGAGACGCATCCAGTGAACTGGAGGCCGGATATAATAAAGAGGAGGAAGTATTAATCAACGCGCGATCAATTCGATAAACAAAGACGATTTTATTTTCATTCTCAATTATTAAAGCTCTTCGTCCAAGTCGAATTCCTCCTCCGGGAAATCTCCGACTTTGATGTACGCCGGCTTGATGAATCCACCGTACTTCGGGGGGCACTCGAAGTACTTCTTACCGTTTACTCTAGAATTTTATGGATTTGTAAGATACATATAAGTCTGGTATAATACACATAAATTTGGTATAATATAATAAAAGAGAAATATGATTTCTTACGTTCCGTTGTTCTTCCCAAGAGGTTCGTCGTATTTCACGCCGATCCAATAGCCGTCCTTGAAATCCGTCTTACCTGAGATAAATAAATTCCATTATTACGGTTAAATTTATCAACTGTACGAATTTTTTTTTATTGATTTCGATCTGCTGGAACCGGAGAAATGGAATGTAGATGCTCATACCGACCTACGTACATCACCGTGGCCCTTCGTTTGGGTTGGTTAGGCACAAACACTTCGCAGCGATCACCGATCTTGCATCTGTTTGCCGCTTCCTCTTCGGCGGTTTCTTCTTGCCTTTTCTCCTCTTGCCTACGCTTCGCCTCTTCCTCGTTGTATTTGCCAAGCTTGTTCTTTGCCAGAAATGCCTTTACAGTATCTAAAATCGACACAATCATTATATGAACACTTTCGAAGGTTTGTTGAGAGATTCTTTTCACTAGCTTTCACCTGTTCTCTTGGCATATTCTTCTTCGGTGATCTCGAATTTCTCCACATTGCCCAGGTTCTCATTGGTGTAGAAACTGTCAATCACCTACAAAATATTGTTGACCGAAACAAATATCATGTGGTTCTCCAAGATGAACTGTCAATTACTCATATGTATCAAATTGTTTACATGAATTCTGGTTCCATCGTCGATGGGATAGGACCCTAGCAGTCGCTGGTTGTCATCCAGGGTGCAGATCAGCTTGTCGTTCTTGTCGTAAGCTTCAACTCTCATCGTCTGGGAATTACCACCGGTGACCAACTCCAGTTTTCCCTTAGAAGACGTTACGATTATTCGCACATTCATTCGTTTGGTATTTCCTTTGATTCAATGTTTATTGTCTAACCTTGAATTCGTCGACGCTTATGCTTTTCTGAAATCGTCTTTCCACGCAGTAAGAACTTTGATTTGACGTCGTGATCGAAACGTTCACGAAATCCGGTGTTACCACGGTGTAATTACTCATTGTTTCTCGTTAGTTTTATCTTAAATCGTTTTAAAACCGTGACGAACGGCCGGGCCAGGGTAGTAGCACTCAATTCCGTTTGACAAGTCCCGACGTCTGGTAGGAATGGCAGGATCGACTGGATAGACTATGACATTGTTAATTAAATTACTCCTTACTTGTAGGTCCTAGCGAAAAATGTTTCGACAAAAATTGTAGATTCCACTAAGATCTACAAAACAGGTGTTACTCATTTCTTTCGTATCTCCGTTTGTAACGTAGTCATTAAGAAACGGAGAAACGAGAGAGGTGTGTGTTAACTGTAAACTGACAGGTACTATCAGAGAGAAAGAGTTTCTCTCTGGTACTATCACACTTGGTCAAAAAGTCGCGATGGTGAAAGCCGAAACTCATCCGAGAGAAAATTTACTCTCTGGAGCTACAACTTTTATCTGAAATACTTTTCGCTAGAAGGGAAAATAATTTTTTGTGATAAACAATTTTATTATTTCATCAATTACTTGAGTTATTCATTATACTTATAGGCGCCAGCGGAAAATCTTTTAACCCTTTCACGGCGAACAGCGTCTTTAGGCGCTCAACTATAACGATATCTCTCTGAGCGAAAAGCTCCTATAAACGCTCAGACAGAGTTGCTCTGCTCGCTCCGAATGAACAGCGCCTTTTGGCGCCGTTCATTTATTATCAGTAACTGCCCAATAATGTCCATTAAGTCGTTTGTTTTCGACGCGTTAGCAGCACACGCTTCTTGTGCAGAGATTTTTTTACATAATGAAATATAATTATCCATAAATTTTGCCCCGATCGTGGATAGATGGACGACGAATATGAGCTGCGATGGTATGGAACTGTCATCGGATTCTGACCTTTCTGAAATTTTTGGAGAAATTGAATACAAAGGTAAAAATCAAAGTACATACTACAAGAAACGCCTACTGTCAAGTAGCTCGGAATCTAATTCTGAAATCATTGAAGAATTACCAGACATCGATCCGCGGTAATTTCTTTGGAGCGCACAAAATTTGGCTCCAAAAGTTCTTGATTTTGATGAAAATTGACCAAGAATTAAAGCAAATATTGACGATAAATCGTAAATATTAGAAATCTTTCAACTTTTCTTTTCCGAAAATATGGTTGAACATAATGTAAGAGAAAGCAATAATTATTATACCACGAAAACTGTACGCAGTAGGTATTCACGATTGATGGCATGGAAAAATACAATAATGACCGAAACGTATCGATTTTTTGCTCTTTTGATGTTAATGTCAAGAGTAAAGAAAGTGTCAATAGAGGAGTATTGGTCAACCGACGAATTATTACGAACGAAAAGTTTTCCAAGAATAATGACAAAATACAGATATAAATTTCTATTATAAATGCTGCACTTTCACGGCAACAATGAGACAACAAATCAAGATGTGCTAATAAAAATTCGGAGCATCATCGCCAGACTGCGAAATTCTGTTTCACGAGCATTTTACCCGTATAAGTATTTATGTATCGACGAAAGTTTGCTGCTTTTCAAAGGACGATGTTTCTCCAAGCAGTTTATACCTTCAAAACGAAGTAGATTTGAAATGAAGTCGTATGTTATCTATGACTGTTATACTGGATATATCCAAGATTTTATTGTCTATTGTGGAGCGCGCACGGATATAACTATCAATAATCATTTAGCAGAAATTGGCAAATCAAGAAATATTGTCATGATATTGATGGAACCATATTTAAATAAAGGTCATGTTTTGGTCACCGATAACTGGTACTTGAGCCCGGCATTATTTTCGCTCGTACATCATAATAGGACAAATGCATTTGGAACCGTAAGAAAATCCAGACGTGGAATGCGTAATGTATCTAATAAATTATGCAAAGGCGAAATTGCATTTCAGTCTACGGTTAAACTGTTAGGACTACAATGGATGGACAAAAGAGAAATGCTAATGTTATCAAGTATAGCAGAAAAGCTACCATTCTGCTGAGTATACAGGAACAAAACGAAATGATGTTAAAACGGGAACACCAATACTAAAACCAAGTGTCATAGTAGACTATAATCGTGTTATGGGAGCAGTCGATAAATCATTAATACTGTTCGTAAATTCTAAAATGGTACAGGAAATCCTTTTTCCACATGCTGGACCTTTCGATTTACAATGCTTACATACTCTACGAAATTACGTCCAAAAAGAATATAACGTTTGCGAAATTTCATTTACGTCCCATTCGAGAAATTCTATTAAAATATCCAAATGAAAATATATGTAGCAATAATAAGCCTGGAGGCCAAACTGCATCCAAAGATAATATCTTACGACTGGAAAGCGGCAGAATGGTCGGAGAAAATGTGTACGAAACCAAAGCACGAATTAGAATAAAAATTCGAATAGAAAGACTGTAACGTTGGATTATGTACTGAACCCTGCTTTAAATTATATCATATAAAGGAAAGTTCTTAAAAATTGTGAAAAATGGTTAAAGATTATCTACGATTATTAAAGATTGTTAAAGATTACTAAAATTATTATTTTTATTAATATTATTGTTCGATCGGCATGCCGGCCAGCCGCCTCAAGGAAATGGCCAGCAAAATCGGCTCCGCATACCGTGTTAGGAACGACTCGCGTATCGTGTTGTACGCGCGGTTGATCTTTCACTGTTACGCCGACGCTGACGCCGACTACCCAGAGCGCAATTCATTTCTGTGCGCTCCGCCACGAATGGGTAAAATTCGCAAGCAGTTAGATGCATTGCGGAGGAAGGATAGAGGCGAAGGTTGCAAAAAAATATCTGTATGTATAAACCTGCACACTTTTATTGCTACCTGAACGAACGATTAGCGAAACGTCGAATGACATTAAAAAAAGAAGAAAAATAAAATGAGAGAGAGAGAGAGAGAGAGAGAGAGAGAGAGAGAGAGAGCGAGGCACTATGACGATCGCGTGGTTAACAATTCCGTTGATTTATTATTAAAAAAAAGAAAGAACTTACATAGCTAAGAGAATAGAAGGTTTGACCGTTATCGAACGAGGCATGTTTCTATTTACAACCGAGTCAGTTTATAAAATTTAGTACACCTCGAATCTTACACGTTGTTAAAAAATATTTTTATACACACGTGCGCACGCGTGTGTACATATATAGTATTTATTGATCATTTGATGGTACGTTCCAAAGGAAGAAATAACTCGTACGAGAGTCTTGAATATAGGCTGGTCGGACACGTCCGACGTTGTCGCCGACTGCCAGAGGAAGGGGCAACGAGAAATAACCAGAGGTTAACAAACGTGCGATAATACTGTGTCCGAACGAGCAAGTAGATCTATGAACATCCGAAGTAACAGTCGTATAAATAAAATTCAACGAACCAACGATCGCTGCGATTTATGTACAATTCTAGGAACAATAATCGAGGACATCTTACAGACTAATTAAAAAAAATATACGTATATATATATATATAAGGCCTATTTAGTAGAACCATGGTTGCGGGTCGAGGGTGTCCCTCGCGTCGACGATGGGTGCGTAGCCGACGGACGACGACGATGACGCCGGTAGACACTGGAAGCAGTAATTAGCCCCGTCGTTGTTGTCCCAGTACTGTTCCCCCTTGCAGTGGAACCTGACGGCGAACTCTAGCCTCTGGCCCACCGGCAGCGTGTGACAGGACAGGACGAATGAGAATTTATCGGTAAAACCGTCGCAGGAGTTCGCCACGTAGCTGGCCCGCAGGTCGCTGAAGTTTGCCCAACAGTTAAGGGTGTATCTGATGTGAACGGACTTGTGGAAATCGAGGTTTACGACGCGGACGGTGCCGTGGACCGAGAGGGCGACCGGGTCTTGAACGAGGACGTTCTCCAAGCAGACCTTGCGTCGTTTCACCAGGTCCAAGAAGTTTAGCGAGCCTCCGGGCTGCTCGAAGAGCGGTACCAGCGACCGGTCGGGTTTCCGAGGTGAAACGGTAACGTATCCTCTTCTGCCGCCCAGTTCCAGGGTAGGGGACGTGAAATTGACGGGGCTCGTGTCTTTACGAAAGATATCGTCGTAGATCAGGTCGCTGTAAGCCGAGTTCGGGACTCGGGGTATCTCGTCCAGGAAAGTTCTTACATCCGCCAGGTCCAAGCCCAGAACGTCAGCGAACCGAACGATCTTCTTTCTACCGGGAGTCCCCGGAGGCGTTTTCCCTGTTTTCAACGAGGAAGACCTTCTGATCTTCGGTACCCTCGACTCTACTTCCTCCTCCTCTTCTTCGATGGCGTCGGTTTCTTGCCGAGGGATTATTCTATGATCTCCTTTCACCGTCGGACTCGTTGCCAGCTTCTTCAGCAACAGACACATTTTATCGTCGGTCGATTCCTCGACTGGTTCCAAGTTAACAACTGCTGCTGCTTCTTCCGGTTTTGAGCATTCTTCGTCCAATGGTAGTTCGTCCGATTTATCATTCTGATCCAGACCTTTCGATCCGTCATGCTCGACATTGATCGATTCATCTTTGAGGGTCTCTACTCTGACAACGATCTCCGAATCCGAATGAGACTTGACTATCTGTGGAACGGTCGGTTCTTCTTCGAGTGAGACGGTGCTCTCCTCAAAGGTGCTCCAGAGCGATTCGTGGCTAGACGAATCTTCGGTATTCTGTAGATTCCGTAAACAACTAGTCTTATCATCGACTAACCCCCCGTTCGATAGATTTGATGAAGTAATCTCGCTGTCCGTCGCAGGATCGAAGTAACCTTCGGGTTTCTCGGCTACGTCCGATGACAGGTCGAAGAATATATCAGAGGAATCCGAAGGCGGCGACGTACCGGTTAACGGCGACGCGAACGCATATCCCGTGTCCGAATCAATGCTAGTCAATGGTTCTTTCGAGCAGTTAGGCGAGCTACGATGAACGCTACTGCGCGAGAGATTTTCGTGATTGACGAGGAGGTCGGCCATTTCCGCGGCGGTCACCTCCTCCGCCGGCGAGCCGAGGCCGTCCTCGTAATCCAATTCAAAATCGCAAACGTCATCTTCCGAGCTACGCCGGGGCTGCTGTCTCAGTACCTGATTACTGGAATTATTTTTGGCCGATGAATCGGAGGAGTGGAGCCATGTGGTTTCTTTGGGACTGCTCGCCGAGTCGTATGGCGGGTCTTCAGTGCCTAGGGAGGTCAGCCGACGGTGCAAGCGTCTCGCGAATGCTTCCGCTCGGCCTCTACAGATCGTTGGGAAGAGGGAACCGACCAGGCCGCAGGAAGAACGACCACCGGGCGATGGATTAGTGTTGATCGGCGAATCCGTGCTACCCATTTCGTTGAGGGCGCTCGTCGATACCTCCGAAACGACACCGCTGAGAACCACTTGGTCACCGGAGGGAACCCTCTCCGTGATCCTCCTCGCCTCCTGAAAGAGGATCATTTATTACTTTCCTGATAGATCGACTCTTCCTGAAGTGATGCTAGCGATTTTGCATTTGTTATTCGTACTCAGATTTCGGTTTACGATTTTTTATTTTTTTTCTCCAAAACCAGCGCATAGAATTTGATGAAAAAAATTCAGACATCTGAAAAAAATTCAGAAATCTACTACTACATTAGTAGCACATGTGTGAATTTTTCCATCCATTATTTATATTAAAAAAAAATTTGTGGATATCGTAGCAGGTTTTGCCACATCTGGAAGCTCCTCTTCCGACTTTCAGTATGTTTTTTTCTCAGAATCTAACGTACAGAAACTTCTGAAAATGACCAGAAATGTATTACTATAAGAGTAAAATATGTGAGAATATTTTCAACGTGTTTTGAAAACTTTCAAATTTTGACCAAATCTACACGAGTAGAATACGTGCGAATGTTTTGAAATTTTGCATACGTTACTTATATAAAAAAGAAATTGTGAAGTTGTCGAATTCTCAGATATCGACTATTTTTACGGGTAAGTGAATTTCGACGATATATTTAGTTAGGATAGAATCTTTCAAATTGAACGATGTTATTCGACTCGAAGCGAAGGGAAGCCTGAAGACAGTGGCCGAACTTCAATTGTCCCTCGCTCGTTAATATAAATTATCTTTTGTTTTTAAACCGACGCGTAATATTATGACTCGCCCGGCTGAAAGAACGACTCGTTTGCCAAGCATAAATAAATTCAACAGTCTTATATTTAGAACAGCCGATGGAAAATCGACTGGCGAGGTTCCTCCGTCCGATTCTATTGGCCAACGAAATCATGAAAACGATACTGGAATTCGAATTCATTTTAGATGCAATTCTGCAACGCAGTTTGCGAGCTCGACAGCGGTTCTGTTAACGATACAGCTCGAAGGCAAGATCGGCGCGAATACAATTAGCCAGTCACGTAGTTATGTAATCGAAAAAGAAAAAATAAAATAATAACGTTCCAGCTAGACATCCTACTGCGAAGTTAGCGCATCGAATTCTGCGAAGGGGAGAGCCTCGAAAACAGTTCTATTTATAGCAGCCAATTACACCCTGTCAAATATTATCTCAATCTTAAGCTAAATCGACTGTGTACGCACGGGCTCTCCGCGATAATTTACTCGAATATAATTCGCAACCTGCGGCCGTTTCAAAATTCAATTGGAAATGAGAATTGAATATTGAGAGTTTACAAACTTCGTGGCAGAATGCAGTCAAACTGCAATCGTTAATAATGAAATGATTCACTTCGTTCATGGCTCAAATTAAACCTTGACCTCGGTACTTTAAATGAGTTCCTCTAACAAACGACTGATTCCTAACCGGTAAACATTATATTTGAATGCTAATAACGTGAGTAATCGATTTATAATTAGAACGTTTATTGCCCTTCATTATCGATCGTGATTCGACGCGAAAATTGTCGTTATCAATCGTTCAACCTTGACGTGCGTTGAACTCCTCGAGCAACTGGACCGTAGATAAGTTACTAAAATTATCACGTTTCATATTATTGTTTATCAAACTGCATGACGACTCGAAATTCCTATTCCGGTCTATTTTAAGACTGTTTATCGACAGGATTATTTGGCAGGGCTATGTCAACGTTTAATTATAGAAGAGGAGGAGCAATACTAAAAATACTGCTGAAATTTTGTTAATCGGCGGTATTTTTAAAAGGGGATTCCAGTTAATGAAAGATCGTTTCGCCAAGGGTTATCGCACGGTTCGCAGCTTTATCAATTTTAATTAACGAGTTAATTACTGAACATTCAAATGGAACCAGTTTTCAAGTAAACTCGAATATCTTTACGAGGAAAAAGGTGCATGAAAAATATTGTTCAATCTTCGATCGTTGATAACTCTGTTAATAATGAACCGATACACTTTGTTAACATCTCAAATTAAAGCTTGAACTCTTTCATTTATTTCATGTTGTGTGAAAGTTTTCTCTGCATCAACTGTAAAACGATAAAATCGTCCCAATAGTGAAACCCGTTCATTTCTATCGAGAGAAGATCGATCGGAAGAATTATTTAACTTCGGTCGTTCATAACTTCGTTAACACGTTAAACGCTACGTCGATCCCTGGGGATCGACAGTGAACTTTCCGTTCAGGCGGCATAGGTTCTTTCGGATTGACAGTGAACTTCTCATTCAGGTGACGTATCGGCAGGTCCTGGGAAGTGACAGTGAATTTTCCATTTTCCGGCTGCAGGAACTGACAATATAAAATAAAGAAATAAATAATTTAGTTTTAATAAATTTACTAAAACGTTTTAAGCAAAGATATAGTTTGACTTTACATGTATTACAGAAGGTGACGACCTTTTTGATCAAATTTCTGGCTGGGTTTGCTGCGCATAGTTCAACCGAAAAGCGAAATAAAATCGTCACTGCAATATATGTTTTATACTATGTAATTAATTGTCATCAATTGTCAAGTGGCCGAAACCTGCGGCGCTGCCTGAACGGAAAGATCAGCAAAACTGGTTGCGCCCTTAATGTGTTAATAATTCACCAATCCACTTCGTTTGCATCTCAAATTGAAGCTTGAAGCCTCTACTTCAAGCGAGTCCCTCTACGAAATCTTACTAATTTCAATTGAACCTTGGCGACAAAGAACATCGCTGAACGATAGTTCGTGACTTCATGAATTGTTTGAAACTGCTCTCAAACCAGGAACATCGAATCATCGAACCGAATTGCAACAGGCTATTGTTTTTCCCCATCAAATTATTAATAGGCAATCGGCGTGACCCGACGTGATAACCCTTCGCCGTTAATCGCTCGAGGGCGAGGGGCCACATGCGAGTAATCGCCTTCGCAATTAATTAATTACAGAGGGACAGGTGTCCGCGGTGTCTAATCGAAAACGGAAAATTTCTCTATTACAGATAACACATTCCTAAATGATACCAATCAAAATAAATCATCTTTAACGAGAAATATTCCCAGAATTCGGCAGCTTATATCGAATCCCTCTGATAAACCGATGCTGGTGGTTGAGAATTGAAAGTGTTTTTCAATCGGTCTCGAGATATAAAGCTTGTACCGTGCGGCCGTTGACGGGCTGGGTGGCGGGCGTCTTCGATTGGAAATTGACCGGCGAGGTCTCTTCCGTCCGCATCATAATCATCGTGATCGAAGTTTAAATTTCTTCTCGTCGCCCACTAACAACCGCATCACCTCCGCGCCGCTAATTCCCATCCCATCGCTCCAATTTCATTTAAATTGTCCAAACGCCCGATTGCGATCCGACCACCGGGTATCTACCGTCAACGTGAAATCGTTTTCATTTCCTAGCGGGAGCAACCCTCCCGAGCGACGAGCTCCGCTCCAAACGGGCTTCTTCATTTCCCTTCATTTTTCTTTGAAGACACTTATTCACTCCGACAAACGAGATCCTCATACGAATTTAAATCGGTTAATCATCGGTTTCCAATTCGTCCCGCGAGTAAGTTTCGCACTTTCACAAGCAACCCGGCTACGACTTGGCAACCGGTTACGAATTCCACTGGCAGCCTCTCTCTTCCTCTTTTCCTCTCTATCTGTCTCTGTATCAACAATAATCGTACGGTATCGCGTACGTTTGAACAAACGTTGTTGACCTGGCCTCTTCGTTGAAACAAGACACGGTCACCAATGAGTCTCGACGAATGTAATAATAACGACGAATAATTCGTCGAGGGAATTGAAAAATGAAAGAGGAAGAAACCGGCGAGTTGCGGCCGGCCGGCAGACACTGAGTTTTCTTACTGCACCGAGGAGCAGCCGCTGCTAGGGCACACGGCCCCACCACGCGACAGGCGACGACCGCTGATAAAACTCCGTGCACGTATGCACGCGCGTATCTCTGTACTTGCTTCGATCATAATTCATCGATTTCCACCTCTTAGGAATTGGTTTAACGAAACATGAGGGACTCAGTTAAAGTAGAACCTGCGAAGTTCAATTCAAACTGCGAACCTAGGAAATCGATTCATTATTAACGAAGTTATGAACCATCGAAGTTCAAAAATATTTTTCATAGTAACACAATTTTCGTAATCAGGCAAGGTTTGACTCGAGGTCGACTTTCTTCCCTTAGAAGCCGATTTAGTTAAAATCAGAAAGACACGTGATACAAAGTAGAAAGTTGAAGCTTTAAGGATGTATTGACTATACAGTTAATCCCAAAAGTTTATGTACCTTAGAAAAACGGATTCCTATAATTAAAAAGAAATCAGACGTCGGAAGAATAATGCTAACAATAAATAGC